TTCAGGGTCTGATCCTGCACCATGAAAGTCAATCAAAGTTTTGCCACCGACTTCAGCATTACTGGGATTGAGCCGTCTCTGCCCATACTAACTATGGCCACCCTGCTTCTCCCTTTCTCCCCTTGCCCTCACAAACTGCCAGCCTGTTACCTCAAATGCTAAAAGTCTCACCCCTTTTGTTCTTTATTCCCAGGGAAGGCTCAGCCCTCTCCAACTCCAATTAAAAAAACCTAATGGTCACATACTCTATAAAACTGCCTTCCCTAGTCCTCTCCGGCACTCCCAGATTGGGTAACAATATTGGCAATGGGGGCAGGGAGACATAACTCTAGTACATTTACCTTTTAAATAACTTTGAAAGGGAAAAATAAATCGTTTGAGGAAAAGAGATGGCTGGACGGGGGGAAGGGGGAGAGTTGTACAAATATACAATGAGCGTTTTTTAAAATGCTGTAGTGAGAGCAGAAGCAGCAGAGGGTTAGAGGGTGGAGAGAAAGAGTGAGAGAGAGAGAGAGAGAGAAAGAGCACATTATTGATGATGCCTTGAAGGGCTTCCCTCTTAACTTTGTGTTAACAATCTACTAGGCACATTTCCTTTTTAGATTCAGATTCAGAGTTTATTTAACCTGCAATATGGGTATCCGTTACCAAGTAGTATCCTCCAGTTATTATCTGAAGACACAATCTTTGTTTTAACCGATAGTGGGGCATGGGTGGGAAGTTGAGTGCAGTGTAATCTTTAACCAAGGAATCAAGCTAGCATATGTGTAAGTGAAAGTATGAAAGATTTTATTGCTTTGTACCAAGAGAACCTGGTGTACTAACCACACATCAATGACATAAGTAGAGAAGAGGTTCACTTACTGACACATAACAATCCTATTCACTAACATTTGCAGATCATACAGTAATGGACCTCTATCTTAAGAGCCTGATTTTCACTATAGGACTTCATCTCTGCTTCCACTGGAGTGTGCACACCTTTTTGTATGTACCCATTTCCCTAGCACTAACCCAGCTGTGTGCAAATAACAAAGCCTCTACCTCTGCAGTCCAGTTGGGCAAATTGAAATTTTACATGCAAAACCCATCGTCTCTGCCCAGACCTGTCAGAACTTGTCTGCTGCACATGCTAGTCATTGTGCTGGAGACAGGTGAGCATTAGTGGACATGAAGGGGGCTGAAGAGGTGATGTCAGCTAGGGATTCTGAGCCTGAAGGTGGAGGCTGGAAAGGGTGCTGAGTATGGGGCTGATGAGGGGGTGCAGGAAAGCCAGCTAATAAGCTTTTTAAAGGTCAAGCCTGGAAATAATGAACTCTGATTTACATTTCCTTCTCCTACCTGTCAGCCGCTCTGGGGTATGCTTTACCCCCTGCCATGCATGTGTTCTGTAGCCCCCCCCCCCCCAAAAAAAAAGGTTTTTTTTTCCACTCAGAATATTTTTCCAAACCCAATTCATATTGAAAATTAAAGTCCAGTGTTGCAGAGTAGAAAAAAAATGAAACAGAAACACTATCAGTAGATAAGATTCGTTGTCCTTATGGGCATGCTTTTGAATGGCTTGACTGAGGAAAGGAGACATTACTATAGTAATGACTTTTTGTATCTGAGAATAAGGGGGGTGGGATAGTAGAGGTGCTGTTTTCTCCACACAACTAGCGGAGATATGATAAAAGAGATTGTAACTAAGCACACTGCAGAGTGTCACTGGGTGCTGTGGCCCACCAGTCCCCATTGGCAGTGTGCTCTGTGTCCCATGAGCTGGGAGGTAAATGATACAGATGCTCTAGATTCTAGCCCTTGGTTTGTGTCCAGTAATCACTTGCCCACTCCTAGCTTTAAAAGAAAAAGGTACTTTGCTAGGTCTGGCAGAAAGAAAATGTGCTGATATTCTAGGCATATTCTTAAACAGGTATCATAAAAGAGAATAACTTGACTCCTAGGACAGTCCAATAGGAGGGGTATAAGGCTACTCTGGCCTTGTATGTGGACTAACAGACAATTCAGTGCAGGCCTGTAGACCCACTGGCCAGAGATCAGTCCTGTCCTCTCTGGTCTCATTGGGGGCCTCTCCAGATTGTTCTCTTGTGTCTCACCTGCTACTTTTAGGCTGTTCATCCCATACTCTGCTGCTGCGGGCCTCCTGCCACCAACAATCTGCTTCCAGGCTTAGCTTTCAGCTTTTGGGGCCTGACCTTCTCTCCCCAGCCAGCTGGGCTGCCACCACTTGCCTGCTGTTCACACTTACCTATAACCCAATGGCTCTCTCCCTGTTTGCCCAGGCTCTGTGTGTCACCTCTTTGTCCACTTTCACTTAGCATCATGGAGCCCTCTGCTGACTGGATGCTGAAATGAGTCTCTACTGTTACTAGCATGATCTGTGGACAATGTTTTTCTTCCAGCTCATGCTGGAAGGGATGGACTCGGAGGTGCCACTACTGAGTTAGCATGGTCACTACAATACTGAAAAAAGACATTGTTTAATCTAAAACCGTCTTGCCGATTTAAAAAAAAAAATCATTGGCTGGGTCCTCTGGTCCTGATGCTGAGGCTTTGTCCCATCTTGCATTGATTCACTCTGTCATGGTATTTATTGCTTTTCTTTAGTAACATAAACTTGGGCATTGTAATGTCTACTGTTTTGCCAGCTAGAAGGCGTAATAACAGATGAATTGCTAATATTGTGAGTTTAAATATCCGACAGCAGAGCTTTTAGTATTGTCCTAATACTAAAGGTAATGTGATGCCAAACTGAATAATTTGGTCTTTCCTTGGATGGCTCAGTGACCCATGAACCCTTCAGTGCCAACTGGCAAGGGGGTTACAGGAATGTACGGATCCTGGTATGTACATTCTGGTTCACGAAAGAATGTCAGGTGAAGTCTTAAATGAAAGCCAGGTCACATTGGTCATTAATATCATTGTGAAATGTATGTATAGATGCTATGTAAGCAGTTACGTAGGTATATTGGAAATATGTTCTAAAGTCCATATCAGGGCAGAGATAACAAACAGGTTTTCTGTCAGGCAAAAGATATTTCTTCACCTATTTCTGTTTGCATGTAAATTAAGCATTGTAAGCTAACACAATGGAAGCTCTATTTACATATGAAGTCAATGCGGGGAGGATGTGAAATAAACAGGGAGGCAGCACACCAGAGAATAAGCCATGTTGGGGAAGGCAGGGGGAAAGGGTGTCTGGCTATCATGAGTCTGGGTACTTTGGGGGAATATAAGGAGAAGGCAAGGAAAACACCCCTTTATCCTGCACCTAGGAAGTAATTGAGCAGTGCAACTACATTCATGAAAATGGGATCACAACCAGCCTTGGTTGAAATTCTGCAAAGGACCTTTGAGGTGAGATAAACTTCTGTAGACAGAAGGTTAGCCTGATAGGTGTAGTCTCTAGAAAGCATGTTATGATTTTCTTTTATATGTAACCTTTTGATTCCATTATCCTTACTCACTATCTCTTGACTCTTTGATAGTAAACTTATTGTTGTTTTCACTGTAAATATAGCTCAATGCTGTGGTACTATATAAGGAGCTGATCCTGAGATGAATCATATAGGCTGGTGTGTACGATGTTCCCTTGGTGATAGCTGGCCTGGTATTTCTGTGAGTGTTCAGTGGAGAAGGGGCTGGATGCTTCCAAGGGGGTTGGGGACTGAGGTGCACCTATTAAACTGAAAAGCAAAGGAAGGGCTAGCATTCCCACAGGAGAGTGCTTGAGTTGATAACAGGCTGGTAGAGTCAAGGAGCTGACACCCACATAAGCACAAACAAGTTTCCTTCATGCTGGAGCCAAGATGGTAACAAGGTGGCTCTCAGTCATGGGCACCCTGAGAACCATCATAGCCATCACTCAACTAAATCCAGCTAGGAATTTTAGGACACACCAATCCATTCTTCTTAGCAAATGATAGGAAAAATCTGGCACTAGTTCACTGATGCTCATGAAATACAACTATGGAGAGCGCCATACTTAAAAAATACCTAGACTCATGAACCAGAGTCAATCACCCAAAACCATAATACTAAACTTGACCTGTATAACATCTTCAAATTCTGTATTTATTTTAAATCTCAGCAATCTACCTCAGAGTTAAATTACTAAAAATAATGGATTTTAAAATTATTTCCCCAATCTTTGCAGTCCTCCAGAATCTGCAGTTCTCTATTTGTAAATAATTACCCTCATCCTTTTATTGGAAAATTGAAAATCCTTTTTTTTTTTCTTGATTTGGTATATTACTAAAAAAATTGGAAAATAAATTGAAAATTAAAAAATGACAGTGATGCTATACATATCTGACTAATACCTGAAATTTCTGGTGCTTGGAGTGCTGTTCTTTGGAAGTAGTAATGCACTTAATGAAACTCTATTCTGGAAAATTGTTTCTTTGTTTATTATTCAGTCATGTCTTTTTTTTTTTTTTTTTTTTTTTTTTTTTTTTTTTTTTTTTTTTTT